AGACCCCCGGAGCTGTTTAATAGCATTAATGTGCTGTGGAGGTGCTGCTGTTGTTTTACCCTCCTCACACACACATGCACACCCCTGCGCTTCTACCATCAAAGACAAGGTGCCTGGATCTGCTAATTGCTGAGCTAAGTACCCTGGGCAGCTGGTGTCAAATTAAATCAACGAGCATTTTACCAGGAGCAAACAAATATTAGATAGGCATTAGACAGCGTGGGGCTGCAGGGACCGTGGGCCACTGAGTTACAAGGGGAAAAAAAAAACAAAACAAACAACCAGCCTCAAGTGCCACAGCATGCCTGTCTGTCCTGTGCCAATCCATCCACCCTCTATTCCTCATCAATCCATCCTCACACCTTGTCTCCCTCTCCCTTGTCTCCATCTCCATTCATCCTTGCACAGTTTTTATGTCTGTCCATCCCTCCCTCGCTCTCCCCATTGCTTCTCCAACCGTCCCATTCCTCTGTCAATCCATCCCTCCCCACACTGTCTTTCCCCCCCTCCATCAGTCACATACTGCTTTTATCTGCCTCGTCATCCACCCATCCATCCTGCTCCCTCTATCATCCCTGTAACCTCTCTGCGTCTCTCTCTCTCCTGCCTGCCCCCAGTTTCACAGCAGCTGGTGCAGTGCCCAGAGCAGCAGGTTGAAGGGGCCCTTGTCCCCCCCCATTCCCAAGCAAGGACAGGGCAGATGGTGCCCTAGCTTCCCCCACTCCCCTCCGAGCACCTCTGCACCCGGGTTTGGCTATCCCCCCTGCCCTCACACTGCTCACCATGAAGGCATCAGAGTGTGTCCAGGTGCCTTGTGCACCCCAGCGCCCACCCACTGCACCCGGGCATCAGCCCCCTCAGCTCCAGGGGCATGGGGTGAGTGCCCGAGGGGTGCCCAGGGGCACCCTGACCCATACCTGACGTCCGGGCTGTACAGGGCCAGCCTCAGCAAGTACAGGACAGCACTGCCCAGGCCAACACTGATGAAGCCAATGAGGGGAATGAGCTGCAGAGAGAGACAGAGAGAGAAATGAAATATACCACAATAAAATGAATATTTATCAGGCCGACTGGAGAGTGAAAGGGAGAGCTGACACACCAGGAGATTTACAGGGGAAATATGGCAGAGCAATCCTGTAGCTGGGCTGCAGTACACAGTGTAGCTGTCAGCTTGAGTGACTGAATTAAAAGAGGGAGAGAAAAATCGGCTCATGTTGGAGAGGAATTGGATTTGGAATGAGAAATCATTTCCCCCCCCTGCCTGCTGCTGCCCGGCGCTGGCTGGTGCGGCCCCAGGTTAGGGCCCGGGTGGCCCGGGGGCCCCATTCCCAGCGCGCATGGTGCTCCCAGTCAGGGGCTGAGCTTTCGCTAACAATTCCTCCCCGAGGGCCTTGGTCCCTGCCCAGCACAGGGCTGCAGCCTGGGCAGCGTTTGGCCCCGAGCCACGCTGCCCACCT